GGTGACAGAGCGACACTTCTTGAGCAGCAATTGTACTAAAATTGTGGGTAAAAATCGAAACATTTTGCTTTTAAGATGCAAAAAATGTTGTTGTGTTTCATGTGCTCTATCCAGTACTCCTCAAGTGGAAAAGATTTTCGTTTCATTCGTTTTAATTTAATAAAATTCTTCTTTAAGCAACATTTTGCAATCCGATAATTAATCAATTAATCAAAAAAAAATGATTGAAAGATTAATCCATTTGCAAAATAATTGCTTCTTGCAGCCCTAATCTCCTCCTTAATTACCTTTGGCCTGTTGGCTTATTCATTGAGCAATATTCTCCTACCTAGCCTATCGGTTTAGGTCAAGGGTGAACAGTTCCATTTCCTGCAACTTTTAGACGTATCTTCGGTCCAACACACTCAAATCAAGTAAATAAATGATTAAGAGGACTTTGAAGAAACTGAATGCATACAGAGGAGGTAATTCAGCCATTTGATTCAGGTTTGTTGGACCAAAGATGAGACTAAAAGTTGCAAGATAGCAGATAGTCAGGCCCTCAGGACCTGGAATCTACAACATTTGCTTTAAGTATACCCCGACTGCTATGCAGAGGCCTTTTAAAGTTTAAAATGATGTGTGTTGATTCCATTTTGGTGCAATATTAAAATCTGCATGTTAAATCGAAAGGTCAAGTTTAAAAGAAATGTAAATTTTTGATTTCCCTCATGCAGCCGTACTTATCGTTAAAGGACATTAAGAGGGACAGCAATTTTATGTAGCCATTGAATAACTTTCTTTTAAACCAGAGTTGTACTCTTTTATTGGGATTGCCTTTTAGCCATACATGTCCAAAGTCCTGTGTTGCTCTTTGATAAGATATCCTGCATGGGATAACAGTCCCTCTGCTGTGTACCCTGACACACAGACTGTAGAGTCCTTCAACCAGGATGGATCCCTTCAAAGAGAATGCCTATGAGAGACCAGATGATGAGGAGAATGAGAGAGAACAACGGGAACACTCCTACCAGAATCAGACATTAGATATGCATGACTTGACCGACCATGTCACATATGAAGAGCCTTCAGAACCAGAGCACATCTATCAGACTCCGTCGGACGACACCTACGAGGTAACCAACGATGCAACATATGAAGAGATTTCCGAGCAGGAGCGCTCCTACCAGAATCAGTCCCCAGCTATCTATGAAATACCCAGGGAGTCCCCCAATGAAGACTCCTCAGATCATTCTTCAGAGCATGAATACACAAGAACTGCAGAGGATGGAACGCCGGTTCCCCGGTCCCCTTCCCCAGAGCAGCCTCCTGCAGAGGAAAGACGAGGCAGTTCCTCTTCTGTCTCATCCTCCTCGTCTTCCTCACAAGCAGAGAGAGACGAGAATCTGGATCACAGCAGGGGCGAGATGGAAGAGGAGGAAAAGGAAGAGAGCGAGGATGAGGAAAAAGAGAAGAACGTGGAGAGCATCACAAATATGAACTTGGACCTGGGGGGTCCAGAAATGGAAGTGGAGGCGAAGGAGTCATCGCGCAGATCTTCATCATCGTCTTCATCGTCATCATCATCATCCGTCTCTGAGAAAAAGAAGCCAGGGAATAAGGTGGATGGGCCAAACATCTGTCTTTACGCGAGGGTAAGAAAGTTCTTGGTGCGTTGCGTGCTCAGATACACAAACCTGCAGGTGATTCTCATTAAAAACATATCTACAATTGACTGAGCAACTTTAATCATTACATCATCATGCAAAAGTCACTGCTGTGTTTGTGTTGTGGCGAGGTGACGAGATGTTACTCTGTTTCTATATATAACTGTAGTTGAGCCGACAGGAATGCTCTGACTCAGAGGGCCGCCAGTTCTAGGGCGTATGCTGTCCCTCGGCCTTGGCAGCGCAGGTTATCTATCCAGTAACAACTGCATCGCACATACAGAGTCACTCATTACATAATCTGCAGGTTCCACTCTAAAGTCCAGCAGCAATGGAAATGTGAAGGAGATAACTGAGACGGCATGATGGTAGAAATCCAGGGACCAATGTCAACCGTTGGTAGCACTAAAGTTTCACCTTGACAATATGGCTAGATTAGAATAACTGTGAGCACAGATATGTTATCTCTGGATAGATAAGATACTGGCAATAACCTTTTTTTTTCATAAGTTGAAAGATCTCATTAAACTGGCATTATTTGATATCAGCATGTAAGAATTTTATAAACAGCTACAACGTTTGCTGATCAAACCTGCTGCATACCCGTTTGTGTCTGTGTATTAATCATCAAAAAACAACACAAAAGAACGTAGCATTAGATTAAAACGCAGTATTACCACTTAGCACAAATAAACAGTTTAGCATTTAGACCTGAATAAACATCAGTTTTGGTAAATCGTTCTTTTTTCAGAGATCTAGTGGAACATATTTACATCCGGAGGGTTCGAAGTATCTACTTTCCTTCTGGGTGAATCATTATCTATTGGCCATAGGAGATTGTTGGAATGTAAATTTGCAATTTAGTTAATTAAGGTCTTGATCAAGTGCATTAAAGTAAGGCAATAAATACTTTACCAGAGAATCCCACCTTTTTTTGTGTTTAGGAAACCTGCTTTATGACATAAAGGGCCCAACTCTCAAACTGGCCTCTTAAAGTTGGGTAAAAACACCAAAGCTGGGAGTTTCCTATAGGTTGGGTCACTCCCTTTTAAAAGGACTTTGGGCTTTTTTGCATTTAATGTACAAAAAAGATATGCATAGCATAAATAAGGATAGATAATGTATACTTTATACTACTTATTAACATTTACAGCTGCTAACTTGACAGAATACTATCAGTCTTGATTAATTAAGTGATTTTTTTAGTTTTATTGCTTTTACTGATAAAGCTATCAAAACACAAACATATCTCACGATAAACTGAACAGTTCTCTTAAAAGATAAGGTTGTTTTAAACCTGTAAAAGTCATGCATAAAACTCACTTTATTAAATGTTTGCAGTTCAAAAACAGGGGAGACTGAGAAAAACCTGCAACAAGGTTTAAAGACCTTTTCTTGCAATATATAGTTTTATTTTTAATTAAACTGAATGATAAGTACGCAGAGAAATACTTTCCAAATATACCTTTTTTGATTAACATACCTGTTTAGGCTATACGTATCATTTTTCTTCTTCAGGAACTGAACTGAACGCAAGCTTTCAAACTTCGAACTCACATCTTGAACCTATTAATTCAGCGTTCAGATTTAAATGGTCAGTCATCTAAATGTCGTTATTTTTTTTTAGGAAGATTTGCAGGAAAAAAAAGCTGCTAAGGGTTTAAAACAACATTTTCAAGCTGCTGCTTTGCATCTAAATTATGAATGACACGACCTTTGGCCATGCAATGATAAAGAAACTTTATTTGCATATAAGATTGTATTACTTGCTCGTTAACAGAGATGGGAAGTAACGAAGTACAAATACTTCGTTACTGTACTCAAGTAGATTTTTCTGATATTTTTACTTTACTTTACTACTTATTTTTTTTGGAATGACTATGACCTGGTTGACTGAGAAACTTCACCAGCATACTCTGAAAGTATTA